ATTTTACTAAGACACTTGTATTATGTTTCTTAAGTAGAGTTCTTTGGAAATTTTCGTTTAATTTGAATTAATATTGAACGTGAAATAACGAGTTTTAGCTGACTCAAAATATATCAGGTCGGGTTACAAATTGGATCTGATCCAGTTGGAGCACAAATTAACTTTCGCTTGAAGTCATAAATAACTAAGTGATTTTATAACTCTATCATTTAAGCAATTGCCATCGGATTACTGTTGCTCAATAATCTTGAAAAAACATGAATTATTAAGTTTTATTCTCTATCAACGAATCAAGCATGATTTTATCCATTGCAATTAATTGGTAATATGGAGGAAACATCTCTTACTTTGATATACCAAGTAAAGTTATTATCAATAAAATGGAATCATATACTAACAATATCAGAACTTGTGAATACGAAAAATCAAATTTCATGATTGTTCTTGGGATTGAAAATTGTAGTAACAGAGAAGGATGGAAGAATGCTGAAGATATTTTATTTTGGATCTAAAATGTATGGAAACGCTATGCACTAAATTCTGTGAATCCTCATTTATTATTAGTATATGTTTCATTTCGTGATAATTAGCGGAGTCTGACAAACATCAGTTTAAAGAAAAAACATGAGTTCAGTTGTAACTTCCAGTGGATTAACTTCCCGGGTTCAATCATTAGATGTAGCAATCAATTAATCTTTTAAAACAAGATAAATTACTTGGGAATTTGAATTAAAGAGTACTTAATTTTAATTTAATTATATTTACCAGATTGTGCCTAATATAATGATTGGATGGCTGAAGTAGTTAAAAAATTAACATATACTGGCAAAATTCATTGCTCAATGAGTTAAAAAAGTCTGGGATGATATATATCAATTCAAAACGTATTTAGCATGCATTTAAGTATTGTGGAATATCTAACACTCTTGATAAGATAACTAATTTATGATTTCAGTCAGGTTGAAACATGTAAGTCTGGATCTTGTGCTTTTGTTGATGACAAGGGATATAGTCAAACTGTTGATGGAACTAGTGATATGAATCTAAATTGGGTGAGGAGTCTAGTCAATCCAATGGTGAAACTAGTAATGACATGGTTTTAGCTTTTGGCAATGATGGTTATAAAGAATATTATGATATCAAAGTCAGAAATTATACTAATTAACAAACAAAGCTACATCCGCAAAAACAGTTTCGGGGCGGCTCGTTGCTACTAATAAATATATATTACTGTTTAACAAAGGATACTTCTTGGTTTTAATGGTTTGTAATTAAGTTTCTTACATGATTTTCTAACAAAATTGGCATATTAATATTAACAATTTTTTATTTCTTTTAGTGTAAGAAAAATGTTATGATCATAATAGCACGTTGATCCAGTTTAGAAATTCATTTTTCATTAGAGAAGTCTAGGACTTTAAACTCGTGAAATAATAATTTTGTTCTGCTTTTTTCAAAGTCGTAAGAAAACTTGGTTTTTTTATGATACAGATTTGTATACGTAACTTTTTGGAGAGCATTGCCTAATTTAGGGATGCATGCGTTAAAGCGTTGTACCTTCGGTGATAAGTACCCTAGCCATGGCGAAAAAAAAGTTACGGGTCACGTGTCACCAATAAGAATGCGCGAATTTTTGATTTACTAGTGACACAAACCAATAAAAATGCATAAATTTTTGATCAGCCCGGCAAAACAAATTCGACACAAGAAAATGAAAAAAGCAAAAAATGTAAAAAATACGGGAAACAGATGCCTAAATCTAATTTGATAGACTAACAAAAAATGTCGGGAAGGCAATTTTATATATAAGTTTGATCACAGATCTAACCTTAATAACAATAATCTCTATTATCGTAGAATTTTTCCGGACATACCGGATATCACATGACCGTAACTTTTTTTTCGCCATGGCTAGGGTATCCTTCGGATCCTTCGGTGATCAGTCTGAAAACAAATCCGAAGCGCGAACGAAAAAATGAAAAATACGAAAAACGGATGCTTAAATCTCCTAATCTTAAAATCAACCTTTAATTGTAATACCCATGTGGTCACCTGGATACAACGCTTTAACGCACCTCCTAATTTAGTATCCATATTTATACCCGGATCTTTTACAATCTTAGCAAGCAATGTCTTTGATTAATACTAGGGTACTATATGATGGGGATATTCTATTATGGGGATACTAATTGCTGAAAATACGGTAAATGTTGATTATCAATTATGGGGTTACTGCGATGTATGTAATTACGAATTTTTGAATGGTCTAATGTAAATAATGATATCAGCTGTCCAATAAAAAATGCAACAATTTTAATGACTGAATTTTTGAATGATCCCTTTTGAAAGATTTAGCGATGTCAAATATCTTGCAAAAGAAGGTTTTGGATCAATTTATAAAACATCTTCGTTGGGATCATGTAGATAATAAATTTAAACGATGGGGGAAATGCAAAGTTGTATTGAAATCATTACATAATTCAAAGCAAATTACATTAGAGTTTATAAATATGAACATTTCTAAAGTGTAAGCATATTGCTTTTTTGTTTTTCAATAATTAACTTTTGCAAAATTAGATTCAGACTGCTCTAAAGTGCAAATCAGTTTATTCAAGAGCTTGGTGACGGGATGAATATACAAAAAAGCATTCCTATGAATAACTAATACAGGTGCATTTTATACTGTAATCATATTGACATTTCATATCGATATTAATTAATATTATATCGAGTAAGGCTACCAAACGAAGATAAAATTACATATAATATTATTTTTTCATTAATTTCTTTAATTCGATATTTTTCTTTGGTGGCCAATCTCAATATACGTAACGGTAATACGTATTTATATAACATAAATTCTTTTTTGATTGGTCAACATTATTTACTAAATTCTGATTGGCTGATAAATATGACATTATACACGACTTAGCAATGGTGAAAAAAAGTGTCGGCTCAAATCATGTATGTCTAGAAAAATTCTACGGTAATAGAGATTAATTTAAAGGTTAGAGCTGGAATCAAGATTATATGTGAAATTACCTTCCCGACATTTTTTTAGTGTACCAATACATCTGTTTCCCATATTTGGTGAACCACTAGAGGAATTCCGTATTTCCTAGTGAATTTGTTGAGGTTTATATGGTTTCTTCTAATTGCAATAAATTATTAGAAATTTACTAGAAAACCATTAGGAAATCCAGAATTTCTCTAGAGGTTCACCAAAAAAACCATTAGTGTACCACCTTTTCTACCTGTGTCAGTTGTCGAGAACCGAAATGTGCTCGTCTTCCAGACGGCAAGTATTCTCTAAGACAGCGCATCGCTCAAGTTCGATGTTGGTGAAAAGTGTAATAATTTTGGGTGCAGTTGCTTTATTAATATCAATTGACGCTGGTGGTGGTAATTCATGCTGTTTTTGTTGCCGTTAAAAGCATTTCGACTTTAGAATTCAAAAAAGTTTGCGAGAATGTATTCAAGCTATTTTGCCAAACATCTATTTTGTTTCTCGTTGGTTGGTTTATATTTTGCAAGTGCATCGGATGCAAAACAAAGGTTTATTGGCCAATAATAGCGCGCGATTCGGGCTTACAACGATGCCTTTAACGATTTCAGAATTAGTCAATTTATTGGTAGAAGCAGCCAAGTTCTTTTTTTTTGTGTTGATATTACTGATGATTACTTTCGACTAACCGACCGGAATTTCGAAACCGAGTACTACTCTTGAAACTGACCTAGGTGCTGAGAAGCCGGACTAGGTTGTATAGCTTGAATACGAATAGAAGGATGTAAACGATTGTTTCTCCACCACGTGAACGAGCAAGAAATCTGCTGATGTAATTTTTGTTTTTCATTTCGAGTGTAAAGACTGAGTAAGCATAAAAATATTTTTTTTTAAGTTATAAGATTAAAATAAAGTGTAAGTCGCTCGTTATATTTCTTTTATCAGCGTTTTCAAAGGTGTATTTCTGTGACGCTGAAAACGAGACCAACAGTAAGTAGAGAAATGCCAATAACCACTCCTTTTAAAGTACAGATTTTAGTGTGGCTGTATAGGCGGAAATATTTTTGTATTAGAAAAATACTTGAACATTTTCTTGACTAAATTTTTCGCGTAAATCAATTCGATTTGAGCCAACTCTGCAATTTGGGTTATTTTATAAACTCTTTTCGCTCAAAACATGGTTTGTGCATCGTAATATGCATTGTCCGAGTAAAATTTGAAAGCTTAACGTTAAACTCCTAAAAAAAGCAGATCCAAAAAAAATTATGAAACAGAAATTTACATTTTTCGAGCAAAACACAAACATGATATATATTTTAAAGACGTACACAAACGCTTTTTTTCATTGCATTTATTTAGAATTAAGTTTATTCAATCACGAGTCGCTTTAGCGTAATAAAAAAATCAAATAATAAATAGAAATCAATTTTTGGTTGTTTCTTTATATAACGATAGCGAAAAACTTAGTTGTTCGGTTAACCTGTGTTATGTTTTCAATGATTTATAGTACTTTAAAAAAATTACATAGTTTCTATGTGGATGAGTTATGGTCTCTTGACGATACCTTGGTCTACGAACTAGAAATCATGATCGAGAAACAAATAATATATAAATGCAACAATTATTGTATTTTCGAAAGATTAATGAGCATTCTTTAGTGTTTTCCGCCTCGTCATTATCGTTATAAACATCAAACACTAAATACGTATTGAAGAAGACACGCGAAATACACGTGAAATACACGTAAAATCACAACGGTACGGTAATGATGCTACCACTACGTACTACATGTAAAACGACGATCTTGTTTAATTTAACCTGGCCTGGTTAGACATGTGCGTTGTTAGACATTGTAAAACTGTTTCTTGTTATCGTAATCAACAAAATCAAAAATCACTATTGTTCTATGACGGTCGGGAAATAAAAGTGGTGTAAGAAAAAATATAAATACATAACTCTAATATTAAATTTGGATGTTTATTTTTTTTCCGTAAAAATGAGTGCATTTCATTTTTTTCCTCGTGATTATCAAACATATAATCATGTTATTGAACATTCAAATGACAATAGCACTTGTCCATCTAAGCCTGAAACTGCGCCACTTCATTGGTGGAATGTTGCTTTAGCATCGATTTTTATTTTCTTTAATGGTTCGTGTATCTCTAAAATAGAATTTCACTGAAAATGACTAATTACCGTCAGAGCTCGATTTAATGAAATCGCGAGTTAACGACTCTTGTTTCCAGATCACTATATTGAAATCGCGCTCAATTAGCGATATCTCGAAATTTGATTACCGATTAATCGAGCCTGACTGTAACTTTAAAAAATTATTTAACTTTTCGCTCTTTAGGCGGACTTTCACTATTATTTGGTCTCCGATTAGAAAGTTCATTATTTATCAGTTCCATACGATGTATAATTCAATTAACAATTATGGTACGTAATTCATATCATCACAGACTCAATAGATCTAATTACTAATGATTTGATTTGACTTAAATTAAATTAGGGATTAGTACTAGAGGATGTTTTTGCATCACAAAATCCGATATTTATTATGGGCCTAGTGGGTGAGAATTTTTTCTTTGTTGACGAATCGAAATACAGAAAAACGATTTACAACGATTAATTAACCTCTCTTTATTAATAGGTCTATTAATATTCCTTGGTGCTAATGAAATATTCTTCAATAAAAGTAAGCGACGGCATGCTGGAATGGTGACTATTTTCGATAAAATAAAATCGATTTAAATCAAACATTATGTATGTTTATTAATATGATAAGATTCTATAGTTTTTATCGTCGTTACTTTCGTTGGGTTTAAGCACATTAATTATAGGAATCATAGGTAATTATAAAATTTATGGAATTAGAATCGTTAAATCAATTTAAATCAATGAGTAAAACAAATTAATAGGCACGAGATTTGCAATGAGCCAGGATCCATTCTGGTCACCCCAGCAATTCATTCCTACGATGGGAATGTTGCTTGGAAATTGCATGTCGGGAATTGCGGTCGGAGTTTCTTATTGTCTTTCTCAATTAAGGTATCATAAATATGTTTATAGTTCATACGTTCAAAAAGTTTATGAGATTATAATTCGTTCTTAGTGAACAAAAGGAAAGAATCGAAACGTTTCTTTCATATGGTGCAAGTCGATGGGAAGCTGGTCGTCCAATAGCTATTGAAGCCATCCGACTAGCCATGTTACCAACAATCAATAATATGGGGTATGTGATTTTTCTTTGAATATTTTTGGCAATTTCTTTGATTTCTAATAGTTTTGAAATTCTCTAGTGTTGTCGGTTTAATCTCGATACCTGGTATGATGACTGGTCAAATTATCGGAGGCCAACCGATAATGGACGCTGTCAAATACCAGCAAATCATAATGTTTATGATATCAGCATCGACTTCATTAGGCGTTCTTTCGGCAGTAATTGTAAGCTGTATGCTTTGTAATTGATAATATTATTGATTTCTTTTTGCTAATTTTTTGTGTTTGATAGATTTGCATATTAACAGTGTTAGACAGTTCGCATCGACTACGCCAAGATCTAATCACCGACAAGCAACCATGGAACTGGGCATTTTTCACAACTCTGCAAACCGAATTCGTACATATCACTGGAAACATTTTTACGACGATTCGCGATGCGTTTTGCTGTTTTGCAAAATCGTCGACCAAGGTGAATGATGATGACTTGAGGCCGTTATTGAATAATGATAACGATAATGATAATAGTAATGAATATGCAAATGGGAATGGCAATACACGATAAAGTTTAGGGCGCTGACATATATTAGCTAATACTATTTTGATAGAGATGCCTCGCCCACACCCACTAGTTAATAAATGTCACTGCCCTTAATGTTTGTCATTTATTTAAAATATCTAAATGTTTATTTAGAATATTGATTCAATATTAAAATTCTCCATGCTAAATACGTAAAATGATCAAAACAAACATTTATTGCCAAACTTATATAGTCATTCCCCCATCAAGTGTTTTGATATCGATATGTGCTAATGTAATAAATTGAATCACAATCAATCAAAGAAATTAAAAGAGGTAGAATTCTGAACAATAATAAACTGCTCTAGAAATCTGAGAAATACTGAATACACAAGCATTCTCAGCACACGCAGCAATTTAGCGATCTTATCATTATATTTAGCTTTCGATAAGAATTAGTCTTTAACAAGCTAAATATCAAGCCAGAAATTCTAACGAGGTTGAAAAAATTATTACCGTATAGCGCTCTGTATAGTATCTCCCTTTGTAGAAAATTTAAACCTCAATTTAACCTCGAGGCTATTAAACCAGTAACTAAATTTTTTAAAAAATTGCTTATCTAATAATTTGCGGAAAATAATTGGATTTACTAAAAAAAATTGGACTAAATTGTGGTTCAAATTTTTACAAGGGGATACTATACGGAGCGCTTTACGGTAATTGAGATCATTTGGCCAGAATTATCGACAATTTCTTATAATATTTTGAAAATAATGATATAACTAAATTAATTTTACAATAATGTTTATAATATTGCTAAATACTATAAATTCATTAGCATTTATTATAATAGCGATAGATATCGATATTGATACCGATACGTAATCTGTTTTTCATCATGATCCCCACATTAATGCCAAAATTAATCATTAAATTTTACGTTAAAAAATTGAAATTGCCAAAGTGGCGTTTTGAAAAGATAGCTAATCATGTTCACTGTAGTAAGTCTACAGCCATTTATTGGGTCCAAAAATACCATGAAACCAAGTTCTAAGTAGTGAAAAAAGATCGGGTCGACCACGTATCACAACAGCGAAGCAAGATGAACAAATAAAAAAGATGGCGAAGACAGAACAACAAAATATGGAAAAATGAGGTGTTGAGATCAGTGTTAGGACTATAAATCGGGGTTTTAATGAAGCTGGTGGTAAATATACTGCTGAAATTTCCAAACCCCTGTTCACAAAGAATCACCGGACGAAATGGCTGGAATGGGCGAAAAAATATCAAAAATTTGATTGGAACCGGGTCTTTTACAGATGAAGTACGTTTCAATTGTTTCAAGCAAAAAAAAGTTTGGCAATTCATCGGGTGGAAAAAATATTTCGTACTGTCAAGCATCCACCAAAGGGTCCATGTTTGGTGCTTCGGGATTTGGTAAACTGGTGTGCTTCCAACAGAACCTTGACGCCAATTTTATGTGTAAAATCTATGAGTGTGATCTTTTGACTTCTGCTTCTGAGTTTTTTGGCAGTGATAGCTTCGATTGGTTTTTGCAGGAAGATAATGATGGGAGCAGCATTCAATTTTAATATGCTGAATTAATGGAGGAACCGTCTTTAGGTAAACCATTTTGCTCAAAAAAAATAAAGAGAAATATACTCTTTGGAAGTGCAGACATCTCAAAAACGTTATCGTTAATCTTTTTATTCACAATTTGAATCCACATTTTTTATTAACGCAGATTGCTAATTTCTGCACAAAGTTAACGTTTTGAAGATTTAATTACTGTATATTGATATGCTATGATAATATTTATTTGTCAGAAAAATTTCATAGTGAAATTAGTTTTATGAATCATTTTAACTTTTAACGTTAAATATTATAGAGAAAATTAATTATGAGAATTTTATGCTAATATAAAAATAAAAACCAACGAACGAGTGAAGTGAACTCACTATATATGTGACAGAAATAGAACGAATATAATAAAATACATTTGAATAAATGAACACAGAACAGAGGAACAGAATTTTTAGCTTAAAGCACGATATTCGTAATTTAACAATTTTTTGCCTATTTTTTTTTTCGATTCATAAAATCTTCGTCTCATGGAATTTCATTGTTATCACCATCGCTGTCGCCGTTGCCATCGTTATCGTTATCGCCATCGTTATCATTACCATTATCGTTATCGTTATCGTGATCGTGATCATTACTGTTACCGTTATCGTTATCGTGATCGTGATCGATCTCTATTATTGGAACTTCAGAATTAAAAAGTCATCAAACGTTTGTATTTTATAAAATGTATAAACTTCTTTACTAAGAAGTAAATACAAAATTTAATCCGTGAATATGCTCAGAAAAGGCCTATTCTATCATATTCACGGATTAAATTTTGTATTTACTTCTTAGTAAAGAAGTTTATACATTTTATAAAATACAAACGTTTGATGACTTTGGATTTTATGCACCATATCATAATCAAGCAAAAGATTTTTTCGTTTAATATAGGACGCTTGAGTCCTTCAACAAAATCCGACTGAGTCTCAGATTCGTTAGGTTGTTCAATTGGGTATAATTGATCGAGCCGAGTAATGGGTTCACTTATTGAGAACCAATGTTGAACATTATTATCCATAGATAAGCTTTTTTAATATTTATGATTTTTTGTTTTATGATTTTTTTTCTTTTGAAAACTCAAAGAGCACTTGCATTATAATAAAATTAGCTAGACATTCCTTATGTCTATTAAGACTAATATATATTTTAATACACTATAACGAGTCTTTCTGTACATATTACAAATAGAATTCAGTATTATTGCAATTCACAGCTAAATTTGCTTATACAGTGGCTAACATAATTATGGAATCACCTGAATAAAAATTTTAAAATAGCAATATCTCATAAACTAGAAATAATATAAATATAAAAATTATATCATTAAATTTATAAATACTTATATTATTTAAAATTTAAATAATATTTTAAATTAATTTGTATATTTTAAAATAATTATTTTTTAAAGTTGATTTACATGATTCTATATTTATGTAATTTTATTGTAATAATAAAGTGATCAATAACAAATTAAAGAAAATATATTTAAATATATTTTAAGATTTACATATACTATAAATCAATACTTTGTATATCCTCCCTTGGCATGAATTACAGCTTTTATCCTCTTTGGCATACTTTCTATTAGATGCCTACACTTGTCAACACCAATCCCCTCCCACACGCGCTCTATACACTCCCATAACACTTCCTTACTAGAAATATTTACCTCCAGAGACCTCAATCGCCTATCCACTTCATCCCACAGATGTTCAATGGGGTTAAGGTCGGGAGACTGGGCAGGCCAGTCAAGAAGATTGATTTCGTTTTCGGGGAACCAGGCTTTAACGGCTATTGCGGTGTGTTTTGGGTCATTATCGTGTTGGAACACGATATCAGACTCATCGAGATTATAGTAGTCGATTGTTTGTAGAAGGTCTTCGGATAATATTTGTTTATAAAGATTAGCGTCCATGCGACCATCGATCCGACAGAGGTTCCCAACGCCTTCCCAAGTGAAACACCCCCACACCATTATGTTGCCACCACCGAATTTCACAGTTGGTTTTACGAATGCGTCTTTAAACGCTTCTCCGTCACGCCGCCAACAATAAGCTTTCCCGTCTGACCCAAACAAATTAAACTTACTTTCATCTGACCAGATTACCCTTTTCCAGTCGTCAACGGTCCAATTTTTGTACTTTCTTGCGAAGGATAAACGAGCATTGCAGTGTCGTTTTATAAGTAGTGGTTTTTTTCTTTTGATACGTGCTTTGAGTCCATGTCTAGAAAGTGCCCGACGTATTGTATTAGCATTTACGTTAATGTTGTCCTCTGATTTTAGCTTTTTTTCCACACTCACAGCCGTTGAACAGCTTCCATTAGCCACGTAGCGAAGAATACGGTTCTCTTGGTTCTCGGTAAGCAATCTTGGACGTCCTGATCTTGGTTCCGGTAGAAAAGTAGCTTCGGCCGCATACCTCTTGCAAATTTTAACTACCGTTGACTGAGACACTTTCGCTTTGTTGGTCACAACCCGAGTTGGATACCCTTCTTGGACTAATGCATAAATATTAGTCCGTTATTCCACAGGTATCGCTTTCATTAGGACGGAAAAAACAAAACAAAACAAACGTAATACAGAGTTTAACTTTTGGTATTACAAGTGTCACACTTTTATTGGAGAAAGATCGAGTGACATAATGCCGATCGATCTTCGATGTGAGGTTACAAAATAATGGAATCGCACATTTTTCGAATTTTTTTAAAAAAATCTTTTTTTATTTAATAAATTATTTAATTGTAATTAGTCATTATAATAATATAATTGACTGTAAATTTAATGATATAATTTTTATATTTATATTATTTCTAGTTTATAAGATATTGCTATTTTAAAATTTTTATTCAGGTGATTCCATAATTATGTTAGCCACTGTAACATGATAGGGCGTAAATCCTCAATACAGCCAGCGCTGGTCACAGTAATATCCTTTACAGCAGCATTTTGAACAAATTTTGCATAGTAACATTATGATGTTCGGTGATATTTTGATTTTGATGATTAGTTAACATTAACGTTAACGTTAAACGATTACTTTTTAAACTGGATTAATGGTCACACACCCTATCGCTATCGCTATCATATTTTTCCATTGATTATCGAGAGGGTTGTTGTGTATTACAAATATTCCATTCTTTGTTTTATGCTCGTATCCCAAGGTTAATTACTGGTATATTAAAGAAGATGGGCGTTTTCTAGTCAGCTGTGCATGTATTATTTTTAAAGTTATCGTTATTATTAATTGATCATTAATTCGCGGTAGACTTTCATTGATAACGATAACCGCGTATTCGTTAAATACTGTACCGCTATTACTACATGTACACAATTTCATATTTGACATTACGTCTCCAAGACATTTAGGGAATGATTGTACATGCATAAAGTCAACTGCTTTGCCCCTTTAAAAAATATCGCGCCTTATTCAAATAGCTATTTGCGTTTCAAAATAATATGTGCATTTCTTAATTACCTGCTTATTTATTTGAATATTTCCCTAATTAACAATAAAATAACAATAGAACCGTAAATTGTATAGCGATAGTAAATTCCAATACAATAGATGGTGAGCGTGCAATAGAACCGGTGTAAATTGTATAGTAATTCCCAATATAATTTAAACCGTCTTTATTGCACTCACCCATATACATAAATAAAATCGTACTGCGATTTTATAATAAAAACCTTGTTTCATAGTGTGCACGTGTGGCGCAACAAACAAACACTTATAAGCAAGACTTTGTCCAGGTCTATTGAGAACTAGAATATGACGCGCATTTATTGTTTTACTAAACCCTTTGAAATTTCGATTTCCCCTACACTACAGGCCACAAATGCATATTCAAGGTTCGCGGCGAATCATATCCACCCCTTCGTCAAACTCATCGTCGTAAGTTTAGTTCTGGTGACGAAGATTTGCGCAAAAAATGTGATGAACACGATGACCACCAATATATCAAATAATAAATAAATATTTTTATAAAATTATTTTTTCGATGATATTTGTAGGCAAATAAAATTTAATAATAAATAAGGTAAATTCTTGAATATAAATCGATCTTTTCAATAATAAATATCGTGTATTAAAAGTATACTGATAAAGAACTTATAGTCGTACTGTAAAGCGCTACCCCTTGATTTAGTTTTAGTAAAAACATTATTTTTCTACAGAAAGAATAAAAGAAAAATCAATAGCCTTGAGGTTTAAATTTCTACAAATGGTAAACTATATGCAGCGCTTTACGATAATTCTTTAAAAATATCTCAAAGATTTTTATACAGTAAGTATTTCAAAGGTTTCGTTGACAAACTTACGAACTATTGTCTTTTTTACAGGGAAGGTAAACCATCTATTATTATATTAAACTAGCACTGTACGTATAGGCATTCACAGCAAAAAGAAAAACTCTTTGTTCTAAATTTACATTCATAATAAATTTGCTAAACCGTTATACCTTTTCTTAATAAAGGTTCGTTGTTGTTCGTGTATACCACAGAAATCCTCGACAATTATTCCAAAATTTTTATTTAAATCATAGCATATTCAAAAATCTCTACACATATGCTTTAGTACACACTTCTCGCTTATCGTTATCGTTATCTTTATCACTTAAACCGTCCAGCGGGCAAATTTGCCCACTAAAATTTTTTTAGTTTATTTTTGTACATTTACTCCTAATTTTTATAAGCTTAACCCCTCCCCCTTTTTCTAGACTAAAATAAAAATATAGCATATTTTTAATCAATATAATATAAAATTTGTAATTTGATTTACAATTGCTCAAAAGATTTGATTGATTTTTTAATCAATTCTGTAATTTTATTATAAAGTGTTTTTATAATTATTAAAAAAGTGAAAATAACTATTATATAATATATAATTAAAGCTAAGATTAAACAAACTTTTTTAATTTTTGGTAAAAATATATTAGATATAAATTTATGGAATTTTAGCAGGCATATTTGCCCGCTAAACCTGACGGTTTAAGGGATAAAGAGGATTGGAAATCGATACCTTTCTTGTTTCATAAAGACAAATTCATATACAACATCTTTCCGCATTCTTTGTTTAGCGACTAGAACCATACAGTATACCCTTCGAGTTTATTATCGTTGCCTTCTTGATATGTAAAGCAATTACATGTATGGTGCATAACATCTAAACTCATCAAATTTTTTATTTTATAAATGTATAAACTTCTCAACTAAAATTTGATCCGTGAATATGATAGAACAGGCCCTTTCTGAGCATATTCACGAATCAAATTTTAACGTTTGATGACTTTAGATATTATGCACCATACATTTATCGTTTATCGCTATACGTGTTCATGTTGAGCATAACAATAAAGCTATTCGTAATTGCTTATTTATATTGTTTAAAATACTTGACGTAATTTCATGATGTTCCTGGTTTGGATATAAAGCGAATTGTAACAATTATGTTCGATAAGGTCATTTGACGTAATAATTAAAGAAAAACGAAATGCACGCACAAAACTTGTGCTTGAAAGCGGACTTGTCATAGAATTACGTGTTTCATAATCTGCCATAATTTATTGATCACTAATAAAAGTTATTGCCTTGCATTGAAACAAAAGAACGTAAAAGTTTGATTTACGTTTTAATTTTTTAACAAGGTTGATTGAAAATTTTATTTGAAATGGAATTGGAAATAGAATTTGAATCAATCATTAATTGATTTATATTCAAAAGTTTGAGTTAATGCATGGAATGCGAACTTATGAGGGTTTCGACGTCCATATTTCTCGGTGCAATAATAGGAGAGAGGGCTGTTAAAAGTCCGATCCTGTCCGTCCCGACTCCAAAGTCAGGACTTTGATTAGGACTCGGTCCCAAAGTTGAGCTCATGCATATTATTGAAAAGAGTGAGCTCTCTTTAATCTAGTACATAACTCTTTGATAAGTTTAATAAAAATTGGGCGATTAATTAATAGTTTATTTAACATGCAATGATTAACTCTTAATTTACGTAATTAAAAATTTTAATCATGGCGTTTCAGCTGCTTAACCGGCATTAATATGATAAATGACATGATATGCGTTATACATGTATAATGATTCCATCATGTGATCATTTAGACTCAGTCCAAAAAAAGCTAGGAGTCGGTCTTAAAATGTCCAAGACCGGTGAGCTTTTTAACAGCCCTAATAGGAGATAAAGCAAAAATCAGAATGAGTTGATCGATGCATTTTCCGAATCCAGTGCGTTCGGAATAAAAGTTCATAACTTGCTTAGCTCACCCTACTGATCTAAATTATTATGATTACTAAGTATACGCATTTACCCCTCTCCAAGTGAATTGCGATGCTACGGACACCCGGAGCAATTAAAAATCTATTATTTCTTTTTTTTTGGCATCTCGTTATTACAAAAACTGTTGTCTGCACAATACTGACGGGGAAAACTTCAGTATGGTTTGATTTAGTTCAAGAGTGTTATAAGAAAAAGTTACGTGGCGGTTCAGTTTTCCCTTGTAAGAAATCTCAAGCGCGACCCAGTAATCAGGGTGCCAAACACTCCTATACCCCGATTAGCAAATTATAAATACTTTTGCAATAAAAAGCGCAGTACATAGTGACTTTATCTAAGATTAATCATGTCTATCACCACCTAAAAAAACTTTTCAAGTTCTTCAATTACGCCTTCGTACTTCAAGCCCTCTGTGTCTTGAAAAATTCTATCCCACAATTCTGATTTGGCATTAGAACCCCAAAAGACCAATATATTTTGTGCCCGTGAGCTGATGTCAGGATTTCCTCCAAAGGAAACTCTCTCCGGGTTTGGCGGTTTATGAAGCATCAAGTAGAACGCCCTTGCCAAACATATCAAGTCAATTTTCGCTGAATAAGTTGTTCGTCTTCCGTTGGCCAATGATGCCAGGATATCGTCGGGCATGCATTCAAGTACGCCCGCAAAAGTCCCAGTTTCGCCTATTACTGCGCTACAGTCAGCACGGAAAGTAATGGCGGACGAATTTTTTCAAAAATAAAAAATTTAAATAATAAAAATTTATTTCCGAAATGTGATTAAGTAGGGCAACATGCCCACATTAAAATATTAATATCGAGTATTTCGCTTGAACGCGGTCCGGCATACTGCTGATACAGCTAAAGATCAGCTCCTCGGGAAGATTTATCCACTCATTCGCCACTAACGCGATAAAAGCCTCCTGTGACACCGATTTTTTTGAGCGACAATTTTTTTTACCTTTTTTTCAACGTTTAAGAAATGACCAGATGTTTTCGATCGGGTTAAGATCGGGGCTGTATGACGGCCACGGAAGAACGCGTCCCGGCAGCCGAGCTTTGAGATCATTCTTTACGTCATTTGAGCGGTGTTTTGGATCGTTGTCCTGCTGGAAAATCCAGCGTACATGTTTGTTGCATTGTCATACAAGTGATTATTAAGAATTTCGCGGTACAGATGCCGATCCATGTTTTGTGTAAATGTGCACATCCCAACTTTTCCACGTGCACAAATCGCTCCCCACATATGGAGTTTGAACGGGTGTTTTACCATTGGTGCAACAGTTTTTTCACGCGACCACGCCAGGCAAGTGTTTCGGGATAATTGCAGAGTTGTTTCGTCGGAAAATACAACCTTGCGCCAGTTATAATCAAGATGATTGCCGGCCCATTGAAATCGGTCTTCTTTGGCTTGAGGGGTAAGAAGAGGAACGCGTCTTGGCAAGGAAGCAACATAACCGAGCCTAGAAAGCTCGTCACGGACAGTTTGCACACCTACTTCGAATCCTGGGTGTGTTTCTTCGAGCCGCGCTTTGATTTCAGCCGCCGTAAGGAAATGATTTGAATTTACGATTTGACCGATGTGGCGACGCATAGTAGGCGAAATTTTATGTGAACGACCAGGACGACGAATATCCAGAATTTGTCCATTTTTACGAAGCGAAGCCATGTAACGTTCACAAGAGCGAAGTGGAATACCAGTTTTTTGCGAAATTTCTCTAGCATTACGCCAGCCATTTCGCCAAAATCTCTTTATGGTCTCACGATTGAATTTTACGGGGTTGTCGGACATTTTTAAAGGTAATAAAAAACGTTTTTTGGTTACAAATCAAATAAAGAATGATGTGCAACATGTGAAAAATGTTGCAAATTTGCACAAGGTTGATCGCTTTCTGGCCATTACTTTCCGTGCTGACTGTAAAGATAATCGTTAAAGATTATTGTTAAAGGTTAATTTAAAGGTTAGGATTAGAGTTAGGGTTAGAGCTGGGTCAAGGTTATATGTAAAATTGTCTTCCCGACATTTTTTTATGTATCAAGTTAGATTTAGGAATCTGTTTCCCGTATTTTTTACATTTTTTGCTTTTTTATTTTCTTGTGTCGGAATTATTTTGCCGGGCTGATAATAAATTTACGTATTTTTATTGGTTTGTGTCGCCAATAGCACGTGATATGACACTTTTTTCGCCGTGGCTAGAGATCGTCCCAAATAAGGGGGTTCCTTAAAGCAAGGCAAGCCGTTTAGCCGGTTTAGCCACAGACTCGCCACAATAGATCAGTATCACATGACTCCAAACAAACATAGCCAATCAAAATTATACACATAGTATATGATATATG